TGACTAACGATCATTTCTCACACGATACAAAGAGTCGCAATGCAATCTCTTATTATAATATAGCATTTTGTTATTTTGGGTCAAGAAGTGATTATAAATGCCATTACATGTATGAGAAATTTTAACTGTTTCCAAGTTAGCAATATTTATCTGTACGATAATACTTTTAATTGTTTTTAATAAGGCGATTACGAATTACCTATATCATTATTCCTAATTAATTATTGAGAGATTTAAAAAAACGAAAAACGATCGATGCTTCTATATCTTGATACGCATCTTTTAGAAAAAAAAAAAAAGGTATCGATAGTTCTCCGCCGTTATTGGGAAGTTGGCCTGCTAAAGCGTTCTCTATTGTATCTATTTACTATTCAAATAATAATTATTCAAATAAATATGGTTTACCGCAATATACCGCTTTTTCTTATTTTTTCTACAATTCCATGTCTTAATAATTGCAAGTAACTCCAAGCAATAGAATAAAAATAGGTGTTACGAATGATTAGTTTAGTCACTATCGTTTGCATTATTACATCCTTCCTCTAGAACTGATTCATATTATATACGATTGCACAATCTATTAATCGAATTTCGATTCTGATTGGATTCACCTTTTCTATCAAATTGATACTATCAATCGGTCACAATCCACAGATTACTAATTTCGGTTATAAAAACTAAACGAATTTAAGATAAAACGTCGTTTCATAGAAACAGTCTTAAGCCTCAGCAAATTCCAGTAACTGGCGCTGCGATCGGATAGAGTCGCTTCAGTCGCGTTTTTACGATCGGCTGATGGTTGACTTACATTCTGGAGATTTTGTCACAATTTATCCGTTTTGACGAACGCTTTTTTTGATTTGTACGGAATTTAAGGAAAACCCACAGTATTTTGGGAGTGAAAAATACGCTTAGTGTTTGTCTATTTGGCGTTCGAATCGTGGAATATGTGGTTATTGTACTCTTATTAACTTCCACGGTTCTCGCCATCTTAGTCTGTCATCAAACGTGCGGAAATAAAGTTTAGTGATTCTTTTCTCGTATTATTCCGTACCGTCGGAGACGATCTTCAAACATAAGGTCGATCGTTGTTTCCCTGCTCCGTGTAACGTTGTTTTATAGTGAATTTGCTCCGAGACCGGTGAGTGATTTTTTTCAACGTTATCATCGTCGTATCGTTGCACGGTGTTGCCGCGCGGATCGTAAAATATTGTACAACCTGCGCCAGTAAAAACGTATCCGTCCACTGTATAAAGATTCTCTTGAAGGTTCGTCTTCGACGTGTGTATCGTGGCAGTCTGCCCTTCATCAGGGAAGTGGGATGATACACTGAAAGAGGGAGAATTCCTGCATGGACCGTTCGCAAAGGTAAGTTTGCAATTGATCTGTCTTATTTAATGTTTTCTCCTTTTAAACTCACATAAGTGGAAAAAGCGTTGGTTTGTTCGGTTTTAAATTGCCACGCCTTCGATAGGCGGTTACAGCCGGAAGCTAATCGTTTTAATTCGTTTCCGTAAGATTCTGCGGAACCATGACAGAAAACCAACAACCATGACGATGATTGTGATGATAATTATCCCTAGTCTGGCGTGTTTAGAAAGGAACGCGTTTCGTCGAATTTTCACTAAATTCGTCGACGAAATCGGGCCTCGTATGAGAGAAACTATTTCACGGTGTCACCGTTCTGATATACGTTCCGTATGTGGCGTTACATAAATGTACGCAGATAAGCTGCGATCAACCACAAAATGTCAGATAACTGGTGATTAAGTCGTCAAAATTTTTTCACAGTGTAATTTTTTTGTTTCATTCGTACTGGCATTTTTTTAGCATTCTTTCGGTGTTTATTATTGATATCATGTGTGTTCAATGATTATTCGTGGATCCAAAAAACGTGTATATGGATTTAATTGTGCATCGTGTTACGGACTCCGAATACATAACCTCTACGGAGTTACAAAACTGCAATGCAGTTACTACGAGTGGTTCAATTATTTATTCAGATATTTCAAGAACTTGTATTATAATGTTTCTAACCGTTGTTCTATAAAACCGTCACTCCAATTCGTTATATAGAAAAGAAACATGAAACGAATATATGATTGTTACATGATATGAATTTCAATCAGTGTGTCAGCCGTTACCCTTTACAAATATAGATCGTCAATTGTTTCACGTTGTCAGAGCCATTTACGATCATCAAAATTATTGCACCTGCCCGCACTGTCATTGACCTCTTTCTATTATACTTTCGAAAATCTGATGCAAAATTCACCACGCTATCGGCACTTTCTTTGTAAATTTAATTTAGAAAATGTGAAATAAAACAACGCTATTGATATCTTCAACTTGAATTCTTTTTATTTCGAATGCATTTAAAATCTGTATATTTTGTGATTCCTAAATGTTTATCCTTATATCGACAAATGGTAATAATCTATAAAAATACATCTTCAATATTTTTTTTTAAACAAAGTGCTTCACGATATGAGATAATTGCATTAGAGTACACTACACGTATTGTTTACTTTGTTCTACGT